AAAAAAAAAAAAAAAAACCTAAATGCAGTTTGTTTTAGCTTATTGCATGCATAAAATGCAGTGGTACCTTCATTCTTCATGGGTTTGACATAAATTCTGTGAGCAAGGTTCGTACTTTGTATTGCCTATATAATCAGAACTAATGTGATAACTTCATCCTGTTAACCATCCTATTTAACTCATCGGAATCTACTTTTGGTATGATCCAAAATTACTTGAGAATTTATTTAACTTGGATTTCAGTTCTACCTTTGGTTGTTCCGGCATTAAAGCAAAGTTTACAATCTTCGCTGATGTTTGGTTATCATTTGTAACGTTCACTTGTTTAGATGTTGATTGATAGCCGTCAGCTGTCACGTAAATTTCATAACGTCCTGGAGTAAGTAAACGAAAATATTCACCAGTTTCCCCTATAAATTAGCTGATCGTTTGTCTCAGCAACAACATTGTTCAAGCTTTTTCACAGGGACAATTTAATCCATGTTAGACAGTTGAAGTTTTAGATTCAAAATTTTGACCGTAAATTTTAAATTTGTCACCTACGAAAAAAAATTAATGATCTTAGACAAAAATTATGGATGATATCCAAAAATTATGGGTATTATACAAATTAGTTCAAAATTTATTATTTTTGTTTGGAACTTACAAGATGTAACAGGATGTTTGATCGGGGTAATTTCGGTACTGTTCTTTACCCATATGACAGCTTCTGATATTGGCTCTCTGGTAATTTCATCAATCACAGTACCTTTAATTCCAATATGAGCCTGCAACAATATTTGTTAAAAATTCTACTTTAGGGAGAAATCATTTTCAGTATTTCTTTACGACGTGAATATGTATGAATTATATAAAATGTTAAGCTTATCAAATATAAATTTCGGCTATTCAATAACAATTGAATAAAAAATATTGAAATTGTTATGACGCATTGGAAGGTATTATTTAGAGCTCAAATTCTACTTAAAAAAAAGTAATAGACTAATAAATAAGACAAAAGAAAAGTTTTATTGTTGATGAATACAACTACAAATAACATTATTCAAGATTTTAATATTCTCAAAAAAAAAAAAAGAAAAAAGAAAAAACGATTTACTTTGATAACGAAAAATTTTCTTCAACTCAACCAAATATACAACAATTTGAAGATATAAACCTTTCGAATAAAATCGATCAATGCTTCCTTATTATCTTCCCAAAGTTTCGGTAGTAATGAGCTATCCGGAAATTTTTCGCATGATAATTCTAATGTTATTTCGAATGCGTTTGTTGCTAAATAATTGAAATCTTGCATACCACCCGAAACCGAATACCATTTTGCACCATTTGTTATTCCACCTGAAAAGATAATAATTAATATACGTATGGATATAAAAACTTTCTGAATCCAATTAATTTGTTGAATTTATTAGTTTTTGAATTTTTTCCGACTTTCATTATGAAAATAAAAAATTTTGATGCAATTTAACCTTGCTGTGCGAATGCATCAGTGATAGTTCCATCACAGGGCGGATGATCATTCTTTGCCATATGAGCATGCTTGCTTGCATAACTCTCCGCAAGATATCTGTAAATTTGATTAAGTTTAAAATATATTTTTTTGAATTTTTGCTTAGTTTCAAATGGCACAGAATTCTTTATCAGTCATTATTTGAGTAAAATAATGAAAGAATTGCAATATTTCTAAATGTTAAAATGGATATTTTAAATTGGTATAGGTTGGGCATTATTAATAAAGTGACAGTAGAGTTGACAATTTTTGATGAAATTTGAAATATATTAACCGGAATGTTTGATCATCAGGACTTATAGAATATTCGTTGTTGTTTGGAATTCGAGCGGAATCAAACGGATAATTAGCCACTAAATCGCCTTCATGCATATTAGCTGATAAAACAAATGGTAAGGAAAGAATCCATTGGCCAATAGCTCGTACTTCTGGTTGATACTTGAAATTTTGAAAAAAAATTAAGTTAGAATTAAAAATTCACAATTAAAATTAATTTTGTGATTATTTCAATAAAATGCTTTAATAAAATCTAAATATAAGAAAGAAAGTATACTTCTTTCCTTCATCACCGAACAATTCCAGAAGATGATCAAAACGAGGTATATTATGCTGTTCCAAATAGTAGTAGAAACCATCAAGATCTGGAAAATCTCGATTTAGATCAATACCATTTGCATTGGATCTACCAGTAAACCAATTCCGAGCATCGATTCCCTGAAATATACTTTACCAAAATTTTATCTTTTACTATTTTCATCTTCCTTTTAGAACTTCAGGAATGTTACTTCATATGATT